CCCTATAAGAAAAACCTCAGAAGTGATCCCTCCAAACCCCCTCCCTCCACCCATGCCCCCCTCCCTTCTCCCTCCCCCCTCCCCATATTCTTAGGCTATTTGGTTATAGCTTTCGTATAAAAGGTATAAATTAGTTTCATAATAGGGGTGTGTACATTGGGTACTTTTTCCTCCATTCTTGTGATATTTTGCTCAGAAGAACATTCTCCAGCTCCATCCATGTGAACATGAAGGATGTAAAGTCTCCATCCTTCTTAATGGCTGCATAGTATTCCATGAGGACTTGGGTCTTTTTCTAATTAGAAAAGTAACACATTCGGTATACAGAAAGAGAAAATTACATGGATGTGATTATACCCAACTGTTAAACCATTTCCCTCTGGGGAATGAGAGTGCAAAATGAGTATTTTCCCTCTGAACTTCATTGCACTTGTGCACCGCTTGAAATTTCTGCAAATACCAAACATTCCTTTAAAAATTAAAAAGTGAAAATACATACTTGCTGTAGATAATTTATTGCCTTTTTCTGTTTTGTGTATGCAGATTTTTTTAAAAAAAATTCAGCTTCAGAGTCTTTGTCTTTTAATAGGGAGTTTAATTACCTTTACTGTCATAACTGATACGTTTGTCTTACCACTGTCATTGTGTCTTAGGCTGTCAATTTCTGTTGCTTCTGTGTGCCTTTCCTGCCTTCATCGTCTTTTGTGATAGGCACTATGTTTCCTTTGGTTTTAATTTTCTACGGGGATGTGACAAGTAGAAAACTTGCTTTCCTTCTATTTGCAGCAGCTTTTAAGTCTTTCACAAAACGGTCGAAAGTCATAGTCTCTCTCGTGATATAATTCAAGAAAAATACAGTAACAGGGTAGCCAAGAGCTCGCATTTGAATTCTGGCTCCATCACGTACAAGCAAGTGACTTCACCTCTCTGTGCCCCTGTAGTGATACTACATCTGTTTTCTAGGTTTGGTGCAAAGCTGAACTGAGTTGATAATTGTAAAACACTTACCATAGCGGGGCATGATTATTTGCTTTTTCCTTTAAGGTCAAAGATAAGCAAAAAGAAACCATCCTTGACTGCCCCCTTCCCAGTTGTATGTGACTGTTTATTTATTTTTATTTTTTGAGACCGATTCTTACATTGTCACCCTTGGTAGAGTGCTGCGGGATCATAGATCACAGCAATCTCAAACTCCGGGGCTCAAGCGATCCTCCTGCCTCAGCCTCCTGAGTAGCTGGGATTACAAGTGCCAGCCACAACACCTGGCTATTTTTAGAGATGGGGTCTTGATCTTGCTCAGGCTGGTCTTGAACTCCTGAGATCAAGCAATCCACCTGCCTTGGCCTCCCAGAATGCTGGTGTCTGTGACTGTTTAAAGAGACAAGGAAGAGATGCACACGGGTGGCAGGGAGCTAGCCAGGCACCCTTGTGTAGCAGCTTTTACTACTCAGGAGTCTTTCTTGGGAAATTTGTGATTTTAAACTAATTTTGAAACTCGAGCTCACAGACCCCACCGAATCTGCCCCATTCATTTATAAGGCTGCTTTTGCAGTGTGACAGCAGAGTTTCAAGACCTTATGGACCACAAAGTCAGAAATATTTCCTATCTGGCCCTTTAAGAAAAAGTTAGTCACCCCCTGCGTTAGATCTGCTGGATGATCATCCTTCTTTCTAAATTTAGGAGAAGCCATCTTCTCCCTTGTCCTATTATAGCCTCTCAAAAGCTAAGTGGCTCTTAGCATATATTAAAAGATTTTCAAAAAGACCATTAGCTTCTGCATTTAATTGTCCACAAGGTGGAGATACTTAATCAAAAACAAAACTAAAAAAAAAATTGGAAAAGATAAAGATGCTGATTACGAAGCAACGCTCTCCCACAGCTTGGACAAAAGGAGGGGCAGGTTCCCAGGGACTTTTAAAAAAAAAAAAAGACCCAGCTCTCTCTAGGGTTTTAATGCTGGATTCGGCCACCGTGGGTGGCATCTAGCCCTTGCTCTGCCTCTCTGATATGCTGCTGCTCCTCAGATCCCTGACAGCCTGGCTGGCGTCATACGCCCATCAGTCTGAGCAAACCTAGCCGGCTCCCCCTGAGCTCCCCCAACAGGCTGCCTCTTATTTCTGTTGCCAGCTACTCCCAAACCTACAGCATTCCCCCTCCAGGGACAGAATAAATAAGACCATTTTAATTTTCAAATTAAGACTTTGCTTATGAAAGAGTGAGCCACTTGAAGATCCATTAACAAAGGTCAAATTCTCTCACGTGCTTCTATGTGGTCTTGAGTGCTTCACTGCCTCAACAGAGTTCTGGTCAAGGAGCACCGGATTCAGGAGTGCGGGGACTAGAGGGAAGGATTCAGCCGTTACCAAGTCCTGAGGCTTCTTTATTGGGGTTGACTCATTTGGGACTGAGGCCCTGCAAGATCAAGGGCAGTGGGGATTTGGGCTTCTGCGCTGGAACTGCCCACAATCTTGGTGGGGAGATGGGACCAAGGTACATGGAACTAGTAAAGAAAAATGTAATAATGTAAGAGCAAGTGTCCAATAGAGTGGTCCAGTGGTGCGTCCACGAAGAACAATAGGAATTAGGAGAAAACCCAAGAAATCGGAGGCGATGGATGCCTACAAGGGCAAGGCGATGGATGCCTGCCAGAAGCTGAATGACCACTGACTCACAACCCTCAGACTGGGTTCTGTACGGTCTACTCCTTTGCTTGGTCATCTGTTTCTCAGGCAAACGGTTGCATCAGATATGCAAGATTATCCCCCTCCTGCCAACCAGGGAGCTGAGGTCTCGGAGTTAACCTAACCTAAGCCTATCAGTTCCACAGCTGGGAAGGGCTGGAGCTGTGAGTTTCATGTTGCTTCTCTAACTCCAAAGCTTATCCTACTTCCAAAGTGCTGACTTCACTGGGGAAGAATGGCAGATGCTGTTGTGTGGACCAGATTGTGGGGATCTTGGAAGTCAGAGAGTAAAGTCTGTTTATATCTCAATTGGGGTAGGTACCTGGAAGGATGAAAATGTATCACTTGATCCCTCAAAGCGGAGCAAACAGAACCCCGATCTGATCTGCCCAATAAAGAAATGGTTAAAATCAAGTCCATGCTAACAGCCAAGCCTCAGTGAGGGCTCTCGGCTAGGCACTGCTCCAGGAACTGCCCGTGCCCATCATAAGCCCGCGAGAGGTTCCCATTATCAATTTGCATTTTACAGATGGGGTGACCGAGACACGGAAAGATCAAGTCTCTCGCCCAGGGTGACTTGGCTGGTAAGTGGCTGGGTGGAGACAGCAGGCAGTCTAGCCAAGGGTCAGGGCTCTGGAGGCCTTCCCCGACACTTCCCATTAGGGAGGCCCCAGGCCCCGGTGAGTCAAACAACATTCAAGGTGCAGGGATGTGAAGCCGAGGAAGATTCCTTAACCTCACGCACCAGTGAGGGCACAGTCACGTTCATGAGGACTTCCTGCATGCCAGGGACTGCCCTTTCTGTGCATATTTTATTGTTACCCCTCCTTTTTTTTTTGACGGCTTGGGTTTTTTAATGTTGTAACAATTATTCACGTTATGAATTATGCAAATGCCTCTCCTTTTGTTTTTCAGCTGATAAAACCAAAGGCTCAGAGGGCAAAATATGACTTGCCAGGACTCCAGCCCAGTCCTCTCTGACCTGGGAGCTGACCTGGACCCCTTGCCAAGTGCAGTGTGTTCTCAGTGGTCTCTCTCCTCCCTGCCACCTGTCTGTCCTTTCTGGGTGATGCTTTCCCCCTCTTCAGTGTCTGTCCACCCGACTCGTGGCCAGGTGCTCAGATCTGGCTTTGTGGACTGCGTAAGTTGAGAGGCCTCTTAGGTTTCTATTCTCTGCTCAGCAGAGACCCATGGCTCTCCAAAAGAGAGGACCACACCTCCCACCTCTTGGACACCATACTGCCCTCAAACAGCCTTTGGGGACACTCACTACTCATCCATCTTCACAAATATTTATTGAGCACCTATTTTGTGCCAGGTACTGTGTTTCGTGCATACATTTGTTCTGAGACAGAGTCTCACTCTGTTTCCCAGGCTAGGGTGCAGTGGCCATCAGTCTACTCACAGCAACCACAAACTCCTCAAACAGGAGGGTTCAAGTGATCCCCTGCCTCAGCCTCCTGAGTACTTGGGACTACAGGCACCCACCAGAATGCCTGATTAATTTTCTTTCTAGTAGAGATGGGGTCTCAAACTCTTTTTTAGTAGAGGCTGGTCTCAAACTCCTGAGCTCCAGCAATCCACCAGCCTTGGCCTCCCCGAGTGCTAGGATTACAGGCATCAGCCACTGTGCACGTTCAGCCTGGTACACACATTTGACCTTATTCCTTCCTGCCCTCAGGAAGCTTAATCTGTTTTCTAACTGTTCATAGTTTGGTGGAACAGATGGCTAGTGTGTAAAATTGAGTAAAAACCTGTCTTGTGTGGCGAGGTAGGATGGAGGAGATGCATAATAAGCCTTGTGTTTGCTTCAAGCCCTGGTTCTTCTGCCAGCTCTGCCCTGCGTGTCCTAGCGACTGACCACAAAGGCATTAAGGCAGCATTTAACAGGGGCGCAAAGGCCGAGATGGGGCGATATCCTGGGGAATGGGGGAACATTAGATGTGGACAGAAGGCAAGCACGGCAGCAGCTTGAAAGACACAAAAACTCACAGAGCTGCCAACGCTGCTCCAGGCTGCTGGGGCGCCCCTGGGCAGGAGCTGCGAACAGGGCTGCTAGCAGCTGCCACGCTAAGAGAGTTCCCGGTTGAAAGGAGAAATGTTTTTGATGCCTGACAGTTCAGAGCCAGCATTTCTCCACTTTAATCTCTGAGTACAATTCAAATTCCTATGCAAAGTAGTCCCACAAAGCC